ACCCTTACCTTACACAATATACTCAATCATATGAAAATTATACTGAAAATGGATCAAAGACCTAAATATAAGAGAAAAATCATAGAACTCTTAGAAGAAAACAGAACACCTTCATGACACTGAATTTGGCAATGATTTTTTTTTGGATATTAAACAAAAACACAGGCAACAAAAGAAAAAATAGACAAATTGGACTTCCTAAGAATTAAAAACTTTTGTGCATCAAGCAGAGTAAAAAGTCAACCCACAGAATGGGGAAAAAAAATTTGCAAGTCACATATATGATAAGGGATTAATATCCAGAACACATAAAGAACTCCTAAACTCAACTACAAAAAAATAACTCAAAAGTGGTCACAGGACTTCAATAAACATTTCTCCAAAGAAGATATACAAACAGACAATAAGCACATAAATAGGCACTCAACATCACAAATCATCAGGTACATGCAAATCAAAAGCACAATGATACATCATTTCACATTCATTAGGATGGTTATTAAACAACACTAAAAACAATAGGAAAAAAAACACAAGAGTTTTGTGTATGTGTAGAAACAGAACCTTTGTGCACTGCTGATGCGAATGTAAAATGGTGCAGCCTCTATGGAAAACAGCATGGCAAGTCCTCAGAAAGTTAAACATAGCGGGGAGGGTATAGCTCAAATGGTAGAGCGCATGCTATATGTCCTGGGTTCAATCCCCAGTACCTCCTCTAAAAATAAGTAAACCTGATTACCTCCCACCCTGTCAAAATAAAATAATTAAATAATATAATAATAAATATTTTTTTAAAAAAGAAAATTAAACATAAAAACTGATTCAGCAATTCCACTTCTGGTTATATACAGAAAAAAATGAAAGTAAAGATTCAAACAAGTATTCTATACCAATGTTCATACCAACATTATTCACACTAGCAAAAAAGTAGAAACAACCCAAAAATCTATCCATGGATGAATGGATACAGAAAACATAGTATATACTATATGGAATGGAATATTATTCAGCATTAAAAAGGAAGAAAATTCTGATACATACTACAATATGGTTGACCCTTGAAGACATTAGGCTAAGTGACATGAGCAGAAAAGGACAAACATATGATTCCACTTATATGCAGTACCAACAACAGTTGAATACAGAGGCAGAAAGTAGAATGGTAGTTACCAGCGGCAAGGGGGAATGGGTACAAAGTTTCAATATCGGATAATGAAAAAGTTCTGGAGATGGATAGATAGTGCAGACCATTGTACAACAATGTGAATGTACTCAATGTCACTAAACTGTACATTTAAAAATGACTAAAATGGCAAATTTAATGTCATATATATTTTATCACAATTAGAAAAAAACTGTTTTAAACCTTCAATGGCACCAACAAGATAATGCACCATCTTCTTAACATGGAATATACAGTAATTTAGTTTTGGTCTGCCATTTTAGGCCCTCCTCCAACCATTCCCTCTACTCCCTCCAACATTTTGGGCAGATATTCAGTTAAACAGCAGCTTCCAAATACTGTATGTGCTACTAGATCTCCACATCATCATCACTCATTTTGTCACTTATGCCTAAAAGGCCCTTGACAGTCTTTCTTGTA